TTAACATTTTTCCAAGAAAAATACCAGGTCTGTGGAAAGTGCAAAACCTCAGTAAAAAAAAAAACCCAAACATTTTGGCTGAAAATTCCCACTCAGTTCCACGCATAAATGACAATCTTGTTTGAAGGTTCATGTAAAGTCTGTTGCCAGGCATTGTCGACTTCCTTGTGGACTTTCTTACACATTAAAAGCACAATCCAGCATCTTTCACATTATGTGGATTACATGGATTTCCTCTCATTTCACTCTATACCTTGAAGCCAATCGTCTTATCTTTTAAATGGACAACAGACAATAAGCAAAACAGTAGCAAGAAATTATTAGCAATTGCTTAGGCAGATTTATTTGTGACTGACACAACGCCCAGAAGATTTATCCATAAGAAAACAGGTTATAAGTCTGTCCAAACCTATCCAGAGTGTTACGCCCTGTATTTGGCATAGCTATTCTTTCTATACATTTTTTTTTTGGTGGAAGATGTTTAGCAACCATATCAAATACGATCACCAATGATTCCTGAGGCATCGTATTTCAGATAAACAGGAGTATTTCTGCAAAAGAATGTGGGGTTTATGTGACATTGTTAAAGAGCTTGTTTCCTGAAACAATACCGATTCTTTGCTAATTTGGAACATAGAGATGGAGTCACAAATGTGTAACACAAGCAGAACTGCCACAAACCTGAGTGACAGTTGAATAATCTGTGTGTCTCACCCACGGTATCTAAAATCAGCTGCTGTTTGCCACGCCCACACAGAAAGAATTTTGTGGCTGGACCATAAACAGCCATAGTAACGCAATTACTAATGTCCTGCATGTTCAACCAACTGATCTCTGAGGAATACAAAACCGAAAAGAGTCGGAGACAAGGAGTGCCAAGTGCATTTGCGGCTTAGTGGGAAAAATTCAGGTGCTGGACAGAAATCAGCAATGCTGGTACATGTGGCGGCGTTGGTAGATAATACTATTGAATAAGAGGCAGAGAGGGGAGTAAGAAGCTATGGGGCTTCTTCCAGTGCCATTTGCAAGGTGCTTTAGAATCACGGCATCACAGAATGGTTTGGGCTGGAAGGGGCCTTTAAAGGTCATCTAGTCCAACCCCCCGGGCAGTGAGCAGGGGACATCTTCAACTAGATCAGGTTGCTCAGAGCCCCGTCCAACCTGACCTTGAATGTTTCCAGGGTGTTCCTCAAAGTTCCTAAATTTAAACTTTGTGCAAGCAGCGATGTACTAGAAATTTCCGACAGCTTAGAGGGTCCATGTTTAACTTCTAATCTTGGCTGCATAAGGATATAATAACTTGGTATTAATTAAAGCATCTGTTAAAATACAATTGTAAAGTTTAGCAGCTCAAGAGCTATTAGAGAGCTAGGCAGTCATGTGTTAAAGTATTACTAACCTTTTCTAACGCATACTTCCAGTGGGAACATGCCATCAGTCAAGTTTACCACTGTTATAAACACCATTTAGCAAAATGTAAGGAGCTGAAGTATTGGACTTGATCTAAAAAGGAAGATAAATCGTTCCCCAAAAAGCAAACTTCGTAGCAGTTTCAAAGTATCATCAGCCAGTTTTTGGGAGGGATCACGCACGGATTTCCCACGATGGCAAGCGCTGGCTGTTCTGTTCCTTATTTGCAAGGGCTGGCTATTTTGTAGCGTGCTCTCGCTGGGGCACCGGAGGCCCCGGCGGGGCAGCGG